ACTTCTGTGCTTTAGAATCAAACTTGTTCAGATTCTCTTTAGTATTCAAAATATAGCAAATACATCCAAAAGGATGGAAATATGAAATGTTGGGCTTTCTGTTCCTCCACAATTCATAGGGAGTCTTTTCCAGAAGAGGTCTTACATACACTTTGTTCTGAATGTAATATGTTGTGTTTATTGCTTCTGCCCAAAAATACTTTGCCATATTAGTCTCATTGATCATGGTTCTGGCCATTTCTTGCAGAGTTCTATTTTTCCTCTCTACAACTCCATTCTGTTGTGGAGTTCTAGGACAGGAAAAATCATGAGCAATTCCATTTTCATTAAAATATTTTTCAAAATATTTGTTTTCAAATTCACCATCATGATCACTTCTGACTTTTATAATTTTGAAATCTTTTTCATTCTGGACTTGTTTGCAGAAGTCAAAGAACACAGAATGTGACTCATCCTTGTGTTTTAGGAACTTTACCCATGTCCATCTACTATAGTCATCAACAATGACTAATCCATACTTCTTGCCTCTGATGGATGCAGTTTTCACTGGTCCAAACAGATCAATGTGAAGTAATTCTAATGGTCTTGAGGTTGATACAACATTTTTAGATTTAAAGGAAGATTTTGAAAACTTTCCTTTTTGACATGCTTCACAAAGAGCATCTGAGTTGAACTTCAGCTTAGGAAGTCCTCTGACCAGATTGAGTTTATTAATCTGAGATATATGTCTCATATTAATATGCCCCAATCTTCTGCGCCAGGCCCATTTCTCATTATTAACAGACAAGAGGCATTTAACATTTTGAACTTTAAGTTCTGAAAGATTTATTTTGTAAATGTTATTCTTCCTCTTTCCATTAAATAGGATTGAGCCATCCTTCTGAATAACAACTTTACAACATTGTTGATTAAAGATTATATCATAACCATTGTCACTTAATTGACTTATGGACAATAGATTATGCTTTAATCCTTCTACAAGAAGAACATTAGATATAGAGGGAAGGTTACCATTACCAATAGTACCAGAGCCAATGATCTTGCCCTTCTGATTCCCTCCAAACTTCACTTCTCCTCCAGATTTAAGTTCCAGGCTTTGGAACATAAACCTTTCTCCCGTCATGTGACGTGAGCAGCCAGAGTCCAGATACCATGACTGGCGTCTTGACTTTTTGCTAAAAACATATGCAACAGGGATAATCTTATCCTTAGGTACCCAGATCTTTTGGGGTCCTTTTTGGTTAGCTTCCTTGAAAGTTGGTCTGAACTTCTGTCTTTTTACAACAGTATTGTTCTGACTTACTTTTGGCTTAAACACAGGAACATTCTGATCAGGACGTGTGTGTTTAATGTCATTCAGATGACCAAACTTGAAATGAGAGTACAAGGGAGTTTTCTTGATAACAAGTTTATCAACAGGCATTGGATTTAAATCCTTTTTAGAGGAGGATTCATATCCAATTCCTTTCCTGTTATTTCTGCTAACCCCATAGATCATAGAAGCCATCTTGCTTCTGTCTATGCTTTTAGCAAGAAATTTCTGAAAGCTAAAGTCATATTCTTCTAAAATGTTTTTGCATTTAGACTTACTTTCAGATTCAGAGTTTTGTTGAGCTATTTCAAAATTGGTTTTCATTTTTAAATTGTTTTCTTTTAGCTCAGCAATTTTTGATTTTAACAGATTATTCTCAGAGCCAAGATTGCACTTAAGCTTCTTGCATTTGAGCTTAATCTGATTATAATTTTTCAGGACTTCAGATAAGACTTTAATAAGCTCTTCCCTAGTGAGATATGAAAGTACCTCTTTTGAGTCAGATTCAGAATCAGACTCAGATCTAAATGATTCTTCATTCTGATCTTCAATGCCTGCCATCAGAGCCATGTTGGCGCATTCATCTTCAGATTCTGATGAGGATCCAGATTCATCAGAGTCATCCCAAGTTGCCATTAGAACCTTCTTCTTTTTGTCAAACTTTCTCTTTGGCTTTTCTTTAAGAAGCTTTGGACATTCACTCTTGTAATGGCCAGGTTCTTTGCATTCAAAGCAGGCAACTTCCTTCTTTCCAGATCTTTTTGGTCCAGAGGACTCCTTGCGCTGATCTGGTCTTTTGAAGTTCTTGAACTTCCTTTGCTTGTGCTTCTAGAGTCTGTTGATTCTTCTGGACAGCAAGGATAGTTCATCTTCTTCTTCAGAAGAAGATTCTTCAGAGCTTTCCTCTAACACCTGCAATGCTTTTACAGATTTGTTAGATTTTAAGGCAATAGACTTACCTTTCTTTTGAGGCTCATCTTCCTCAAGTTCAATTTCATGACTCCTTAGTGAGCTGATTAGCTCCTCCAGAGTGATCTTGTTCAGATCCTTGGCAAGCTTCAGAGCAGTGACCATAGGTCTCCATCTGATAGGCAAGCTTCTGATGATCTTCTTCACATGATCATCAGTTGAGTAGCCTTTGTCCAGAACTTTTAGACCAGTTGTAAGAATCTGGAATCTAGAGAACATAGTTTCTATGGACTCAGATTCTTCCATCTTGAACGCTTCATACTTCTGTATTAACGCTAGAGCCTTGGTCTCTTTTACTTGAAGGTTTCCTTCATGAGTCATCTTCAAGGACTCAAACATATCAAATGCAGTTTCTCTATTTGTGATCTTTTCATACTCATTGTGAGATATTGCATTTAACAGTATTGTTCTAGCCTTGTGGTGATTTCTAAACTCCTTCTTTTGGGCTTCTGTCATAGATTTTTTATCTACTTTCTTGCCATTCCCATCAATGGGATGAACATACCCATCTATGACTAAGTCCCATAAACCAGCATCATAACCAAGGAAGAAACTTTCAATCCTGTCCTTCCAATAATCAAATTTCTCCCCATCAAACATAGGGGGTTTAGTGCTGATTTTGTCCCTTTCTTCATATTTGTTGTTAATGTTAGATGTTGAAGTATCAGCCATAATAACAACCAAATATATATCAAAGTTTTTCTCACTGGATCTTTTTTGTCACTGTGAAGTGGTAGCACACACAGAACCGGAGCTCTAATTCCAACTGAAGGTGAGAAAATACTTAGAAGGGGGGTTGAATAAGTATGAAGATAAAACTTAGAAATAAAAAATCAAGGATTTTTATCCTGGTTCGTTGAACTCAACTACTCCAGTCCACCCTATCAAGAGTGATTTACCTTTCTCAAACAAGGACTTAATCCACTATTTAATCAACTGATTACAATAGTAAGCACTAAGAATAACTGTTCAAAGTCTTCTCAAGAACTACTGATCCTAACTGGATCTTCTTAAGGTTCTCTTACAATCAAATGTAATAATAATACAAGTGTTAAAAATGCTTCTAATAAAGCTTTATCACAACTGTAATTTTTCACTTAAGATGAAGAACAATGAAATAAGTTTAGCAAGTATGTATAAGTTGTATGAGAGCTTGTAATGAATTCTATCAAGTATTTCGTCAACTGAAGAAGATGAATGGAGTCTTGCTTTTATAGGCACAGAGGTCCATGAAGTCTTTCACGTTGAGAACAGTGTACCAAAAAGGTCTGAGCCTTTTTGTCTTCACATTATATGACCTTTCTTAGAAGAAGAATGCACAGAGAAATCTTTTTTGTTTGTGTTCTTGTGTCTAGCAAAAATAAGGAAAGAGTCGTTTGGTTATTCCAACGGACATAACTTTGAATTCTTCTTCAACAATTTTCAGCAAGAATCATCAGAGTCTAGATTGGTCAGAGCCTTCTGATGTTCATCAGAGTTTGTTGAATCAGAGTCTTTGCAGCAAGTGTGCTTTCAGCGTGTAAATGTTCAGAGCAGAGTTTTGGATCAGATCCTCAGTACTGGCAGCGTTAGTACTATCAGAGTCTTCTAAAGTAACTGCTTGAAACTCTTCATACAGAATTCCTCATTGCTTCAGATGCTTCTGACTTCTGCTTCAGATTCTTCTGTAGCCTCTGCTTCAGATTCTTCTAGAGGCAGCGCTCAGAATCTTTTGGAGACAGCATTCAGAATCTTCTAAGAGATGCTTCTGACGCTTCAGAGCCTTGCATATTTCTTATGTTCAGATCTAATTTGCTTCTAGAGTAATATTCACTTTAACATCCGCAACAGACATTTTCAAACAAATTTTAGAGTATATAATTCTTTAATACAAAATTTCATAAGAGTTATCATCAAAACATAGAGATATTATTAAGAACCAATCTGTGTTCTAACAATACAATTCTCAAATTTGGTGTTTCATTGAATAATAGGCATGTCATTCCGTACAACACTGGACTACTCCTGAAATATGAGGCTCACATCAACATGGAGCATAGTGTAACCAATGTTCCTCAATCAAGTACCTTTCAAGTAGATCCACAAAGGATATGACAGAATAAATGCCACTGTTGTTCCTGCTTCAAATTCTGAGATAGTAATTGATGAGATTAAGGAATATCTTGACTGTAGGTATGTTTCACTAAGTTAGGCATGTTGGAGGATATTTTCTTACAAAATACATGGGAGAAAGCCTGTTGTAGAACACATGTTTTACCATCTTATAGGTGAGAAGACTGTGTACTATATTGATTTCGAAAGGATGGAGAATGTTTTGGAAAAGGCTAGCGTTACAAAATCTATGTTCAGTTCATGGTTAATTGCAAATACACAATATGAAGAGGCACGTAATTTAATATATGGATAGTTTGTGAGCAAATTAGTTTACGTCAAAAGGAAAAGGTCGTGGAAGCCATGTAAAAAAGGTTTTACCATTTGGTCACTTGATCTGGGTTCCACCGACGACAGAAAAATTGCTTTATCTGAGGATGATGTTACGGTTGTAAAGGCACTAAAGACTTATGAGGACATTCGTAAAGTGGGTGGAAGATAATATGACTCTTTTCGTGATGCTTGCTTTGCAATGAGTTTCCTTAAAGATGATAGGGAATACATCGGAGCAATTAAGGATGCAAGTCATTAGGGATCCGAACATTTTCTACGAAAGTTATTTGTGGTTATGTTATTGTCTAGAACTATAAATCGATCTGGATATATATGGAACCAAACTTGGACCTACTTGGCAGATGGTATTCTACATAAATATAGACAGATTGCAAATAACCAAGGTATAACTAAATCTCTTTTTCAACTTTGTATGTTACTTACCATTTTCGATGCACTACAACTGCTAATCATCAAAACATAAGTCATGTCACATTTTTGTATAATCTACTGAAGACTTGATTATGCAAGACAATAAATTACAAAACTTGACTTTGATTGAGATTGAAACATTACTACAAGCTAACAGCAGGAGTTTAGCAGACTTCAAACCAATTCGGTATCCTGATGGATATGTTCTTCAACAACTTGGTAACATACTTTTCTACGAAGAGAGAAGTTACAACATTAAGGTCATGAAAACTGAGTTCATTGGTTTGTTCAATGCACTTACAGGTATCACAATCTTTTCATCTTATACTATAGATTTAAATGTCTGCTTTCAAACAACATAAATTTACGACACTTTCATATTTTTTATAAGATGAACAACGAACTATTTATGAAAAAATTATGCTGGCTGTTACAAATCAGAAATGAGGGGTGTTTTTCTTGCATGGCTATGGAGGTACCGGTAAAACATATATGTGGAAAACACTTGCAACTTCATTGAGATCAAGGCATGAAATAGTTTTGACGATTGCTTCAAGTGGGATTGCATCTTTTTTATTGCCCGGTGGATGGATGACTTATTCCAAGTTTAAAATACCTGTCCAAACTATGGAAAATTCCACATGCAAAATTGACTTTGGTGATGACCACGCTGAACTACTTCGTCAAACAAAGTTTATTATTTGGGATGAGGCCCATATGGAAAATAATTTATGTTTCAAGGCACTTGATAAAACATTAAAGGATGTCATGAGTAAACATGGAAATTCCGACGTAGTTTTCAGAGGTAAAATGGTTATTTTCAATGGAGATTTCAGGAAATTTTGTCGGTCATCCCAAGAGGTACTCGATCTGACATTGTTCACTCATCAATCAATGCATCTTACATTTGGGATTCATATGTGAGGTCTTAACTTTAACACGAAACATGAGCCTCCAAGGCGGTCGACCTACTCAAGAATCCCTACAGGGGCAGAGCCAGAAATATTGAATAATGGGGGCATTATAATTCAATTTAAAAAATATTAGTATACATTACAATTATTTTATAAAAAACTTCATATTTGAAAATAATAATAATTTTTTATTTATTTTAATATGAATAAAATTATTAATTTACATAAATAATTAAACAATCATTAGAAATTTAGAATAAACATATTTAGAATGAGTTTTTTTATAAAATAATTAACTGCTTTAATTTGTAATTATGTGAGATATTGTCACATTAATTCTTTAATTATATTGAAACTACATACACACCATTAATATTTTTTTTTATGAATAATTTATGGACTCAATTGATAACTCAAAAATAGATTAGATGACTAAATAAATCACATAATTATTTATTATTTTGTAAGTGTGGGCTAGTTACTCAATGAATCAATTAAATATTCAAAATACTTATATAATTTTAAAGTACATTTCTCTCATTTCTAAATGTAAGTGGGGGCTCTAACCCACACAAGGATCAAAGTAGCTCCGTCTCTGCCCTAGACATTGCTGACTTTTCAAAATGGCTTTTAAAATTAGGTGAAGGTAGGATATCTGAACCAAATGATGACTATGCTGACATTGACATTCCACTTGAGATTCTAATTCAATAATATAATGGCCCTATTGTTGCAATTATGGAAAGCACATATCCTTCTATCCTGGAAAATTGTACAAGTTACGACTACTTGAAAAGTCGCGTAATTTTGGCATCAACTATTGAGGTTGTTCATCAAATAAATAATCATATTCTAGATATGATGCCAGGTATATTTCTAAAATTCAGTTTTCGAACTACTATTACATTTCCTTTGCTACTACTAATACAATACCTCTTGGTGTTTTAAAACTAATTATTTACTTTTTCCCATTTTAAAGGCGCCTCCAAGGATTATTATAGCTCCATCTCAGTTGATCGATCAGAAATTCATGATAATAGCATTATGGAAGTCCTCAGCCCGGAATTCCTCAGTTCTCTAAGGACTTCCGGGTTACTGAACCACCACATCAAACTAAAGATAGGGACTCTGGTTATGCTTATGAGAAACATCGATCAAGCTGAAGGTTTGTGCAATAAAACAAGGCTCATCGTAACCAAAATGGGCAATCATGTTCTTGAGGCTGAGATTATGGGTGGCAAGGGCCGTGGAAGAGTCATATACATAGCACATATGGATCTTTCCCCATCACAACCTCGAGGCATTTCAAACTAAAAATGAGGCAATTTCCAATCATTATATTCTACGCCATGACCATTAACAAGTCTCAATGACAATTTTTGGATTGGGTTAGACTTTATATCCCAAAAGGTCTCTTCAATCATGGCCAACTCTACGTCACAATCTCGAGGGTAACTAACAAGAAGGGTATCAAAATCTTGATACACGATGAAAACAACAAACCTAAGTCTTCCATTGCTAACGTAGTCTACAAGGAAGTCTTCAGCAATGTATAGCCGGTACGTCTATTTGGTTCTTCAACTTCATGCAATTGTTATTTAATACAATGATGAAGTATGCATGATCGTTATTAATATTTGATTTTTCTCCGACATTGTGACATGATAATTTGAAGAATATTTTTGGTGCAATGTCATCTATAATAATATCGTAACCTGCCATTTTATGTTTATCCATGTTTTCATTTATACTGAAACATGTTTTTATTTTCCCATTACATCATGATTTTACAACCCATTCCTGCTGCAAATTGATATCAACTAAACTCACAACAGCAAGCCACCTATTTTTATTTCGTCGACATGGATGAAAAAAACAGAGTATCCAATACTGCTGCTAACCATAACATATATGACTGCCCAACATTTTGTGTTCCCCCATTAAACTAAAAAACATTGCTGCTTTTACTTTATACCTTTTCGTACGAACCATGTAATGCAACATATTATGTTACACAAATCTTTTATAATTTTGCTTTTTGTCACTCATAACCTTAAATGTTTTTGGGATATGCTATTTTACACATTTCGTTGTTCCGGTTGCAACACTACAAATTATCCTTTTCATGTTTGAATAATGGCAGTATGTCTTTTCCCATACTTACATCCTTTTTTTCACAACAATCCAAACAACTATATTTCATATACTGTATTTATAACAACTACTAATAATGTTTAATATTTCCAAAACCACCATAATACAAAACGAGAATATTTACTAAATACCATAACTTTATACATTGATTAAAACAAAAAGTGTTTTATATCTAAGTCAACCTACTCAGTGACATTTCCTAAACATTGTTATGCATGACAACAACTTTGATACACAACTACCATCAAAGGCCTACAATACAACCATAAAACATAGCCCATAAAATAACATCTAAACATGACCAACTTCACTCAATCAACCACAACCAAAATAACTACCATCATCTATTAAACACAGCGACATAAAGTCGATAGCCGGATTTTGTAATGCTGAACCCCAACTTATCACCCCTACACCACTCTCTATGCTTTGCAAATTGATACCAACCCATGCCGATGAACTTCTCAGTCTTCACAATTTTACCATTACGCAAAGCGGAATGAATCTTGGCACGGTAGAGCCTGTCAGAGTGAGCGTCAACGACCTTAATATATTTCCGGTTCAACCCTAAGCAAGTCTTGGTAATATTTTTTGGGAAGTGTTGTAACATTGGTAACAAAAGTGTTAGACATGTGTGTTTAATCCATATCCTACACCAAATTACACATTCATTCTAAATTCAAACTTACCATGACATTGTTCATCACTTTGTATTCGTAGCTAACGTCCTTTTCCTAATAAACTTCTTTCTTCGATTCTTTATCAACCAACTCCTCCTTATCTTCATCAGCTTCAGTTTGGTATCTAGTAACAACTTCTCCGACAGTCACCGCTGCTTCCTCAGGATCGTTCACTTTCGTTTTGTCATGCATACTTTGACTTCTTCCCTTTAAATCTCCCATTTCAACGATCCTGTATATACAAAGTATGAAAATGTTAAGACAACTGAAACTACAATTTGAGAAAATCTTACTTTCTCCCACTGACAAAAACTGACATTTAAGTCAGCATTTCATACAAAACTTTCTTCACAAAATTGTTTTCACGACACCATCAACAAAGTTAACAAACCCAACAAACATACACAAATACATATAACAAAATCCAAAATCGACACGAATCTGCATTATGTCAAACATCATAACTTCACAGAACAATGACCTTATGTTATATTACTTTAAACAAGTTCCTCCCAAACTAAAATTTTGACACTAAATAAAAATTGTTCATGCAACCTACAGATAACTCTATAACATATTAAACCAAATAAATGTATACATTTTCCGTATGACTTAAGACTACTTTACTTTCCACTTTTTGGGGCTGACAAATCAACTTCTTTACCAACACTTCGGTCCATGCATTCCCTGAAAACAACAGGACGTACACCGAACGACAGTTTCGGTATGGATCTGCAAGTAGGTATACAATATCGAAACATGCAAACACTAAAATAACACAAAAATGAAAACACAAATCAATTCCTTAGCTTTGTCCCACATGACTTTTTATACTTCAGATTCATGCCTTTCAAATTAAATACATGTCAATAACTATCTTTTAACCTACCTGGACGTGAACTTCGCCGCATATTTCCGTCTGTTACCGTACACAACATCCTCTTCTTTGGTCAAATCAACGACTTCTTCAGTTTTCCCCTTCCCTCCTTTTTGGAAGATCTGCCATGCTACCCGACGCTTCGGCAACCAACATCCGAAGCTTCTGATCAATTATTTCCTTTTCTCTCAGCCATTCTTGAAAGGATTTGCATACGTAGACAAAGGAGTGAACACATGAATTCATTACTAACACTAAATCGGAGACATGCAAAGGCTTTGGACTTACCTTGACAGATTGTTCCTAGCGCCGACACCTTCCATTGGAAACTTTGGAAGCAACCTTTGTATTATGAGTTTTCAAAAATAACGTTTGGGTTCTTTATGAAATAAGATATGTTAGATATTTATAGTGAAAATCTAACTCACTTTTCCATTAAGTTACAAATGCCCTTGAATGTGTACAAACATACGTTCACTTATTTTACACGTTTTGCATTCAAAACATTTTCTTTACATTTTGTAAAGTATTCAATGCACATGTATATAACAAATACAAATCCGCTACTTTTTAAAGTGTATTTTCCCGAAAAATATCAAATACTACTTTAATATTTCTTGACCACTAATAGTAATAATTTTTAATTCTTTGATATATTTATTTTTGTTATTTTTATGTTCTACGTTTTTTTTTTCAAAATCTTTATATACTTTTTTTTCAATTCCACATTTGTATAAAATATTCTATAAAGTTTTTATTAATAAACCAAACATTATGTCTCTTTCACCAATTTTTACTATTTCAATTTTTTTTTACAATAAT